TGGGGTGACCCTGAATCCTCCCTGAGTGATGCTGCAATAGCCTAGCCTGCTGGGGGCTTCCCATCATGCACTGAGTGTTTCTTCTTTACTCACCCTTTTCACTAACTTGGTGCTTACGCACCATTCTGCATTTAATGAGTAGTCACTATTTATCTCTGACTCTCTTCCACATTCTTTTGTCCTGTCTGTCTTCCCTCACCCCGACTGGTTGCCGTTACCCCTCTATGAGTCTGGTTCTTACAGAGATTTCTTCCTGTTAAAAGGGAGTTTTTCCTACCCACTGTTTCCAAGTGCTTGCTCAAAGAGGATCATTTGATTGTTGGGGGTTTCTCTCTATTATTGTAGGTTCTTTACCTTACAATATAAAATGCCTTTTGAATGAATTGTGATAAAACTTTATAGGGGTGCAGACTGGGCCCTGATTAACTATTAATTAAAATCTGACTTACAGCCATCCCGATCTTCAAGGTAAAAAATTTACTAAAGCTTTATAACCTAATATATTGTTTAGAAAGTATTAAAATTTAAAAGATTATGTCACATTTTAAAAGTTATATTAATGGAATATAGAGCTATTTTTAAACTGTTTTCTACTTCATTTTTTTTGTACTGACAACATATAGGAAATGATATATGGATATTCCAAGTATGACGACTTCTTTACAACATTCAGGATATGACATCACATTATAGTTTGCATCTAAATATCATGATGCCTGATCTCAAATTTTACTTTTCACATCGGCCTTTCTTTCAAGTTGACTGCAAAGTGCATTAAGTCTTTAATGAAAGTGTTGTACAGAGAAAGATAAATAACTGCCTAGTTACTTAGAAATATAGTAGTTTTTATATAATAATCTCAAGTTATTCTTTTCCAGTTTTTTAAAAACCAGTGCCTATTATTCATTACCTATTGTGATATAATGTTTGTATAATCAAATGAAACATCTGTCACGCAACCCTTATAGGAGTTTCACTGCACTGCAAACTGCTTAAAGTATGTTTTAACAAACAAAGAAAACTAAGTAGTTATATAAATGCAATACCGCCCTCAGAGTGAGCTGCCTTGGTGAAGGACAGTCTCAGAGTGCCTCTTGTTAAATTAGGTATTTCACTGATAAGGTCATTTTGTCAGGATGTTTAATGGACTGCATTACATCGAGATGTGTTCATAATTTTCCTTCACCTATGGAAATAGCAAAAATACATAAGTAATAATAATAGAAACACCAACTTTAAATATAAATTCAAACCTTTTGTCAAAGTGTTGTGCCCAGGCAGGCATACTATAACATGAGTACATGTTTTTTACAATGTATGTGTACCTCTTGTTCCTAAGTTGTTGGTTTTTTTTGCCTGCATTTGTGACCTCTCTTTCTCCACCCATTAATCTTCGTTCATTTATTCTTTCACACAGAACAGGGGAAAAGTCTACAGTGTTAACTATCTCAAGGCCACGTTGGGGTACAAGCAGATAAAAACCGTGGTTCCCAGACCCTGACAAACAATACCTAGCGCAGCATCCCAGTTTTGTTGCTCCTATCTCCTCCTCCGACCAGACGTTCGGAACCAACCGCAGCCTTTGTCTGCAGCCAATCTTACGTGTTCATCCACCATGGCCTTTGCATTCATTGTCATGACAATGCTTTTGGGCTCTTCCATGATGATGGCATTTGTCTTGGATCCATCCAGGAAAGAACCTGAAGCTGCTGTCTTAGGTCACAGGTCAGTATCAATACCAAATCAGAATCTATCAGAATAACCACACCACAATTTTGCGTGCCTATGTAGTTTTTGTTAGTACAGCCATCTATTTGCATGATGTTTTAATTATGTTTTTTTTTTTACATTTCAAGAAAATCTTTCTCTATTGTTCAGAAATCAGAGTGAGCTGTGTGCTGATGCACGTGCGGTGAGGTCACATGGGTTAAATAGTAAATTCACTGTGTGATTCAGGGTCATGTTGCCCAAATGGTTTTCAGGGAGAGCTGCACAGAGACATAACAGACTGTTCTGTTCAAGCTGCGGTAATGAAATCAATCACACTTGTCTCACTTCAGCCAAACATCTGCAAACCACTAGTCCACGAGGGTACTTGAGGGTATCTAGAAACCAACTACTTTTTCTTTTAATGCTGTAAAAACAACAAAGATTACTTTCTTTTATTTTTCTTCCAACACAACATTGTACGTGATGTTCAGGTGCCAAGGTGAGTCATGGCAGTCCATCAAAAAGAACCTCCTTGGGGTTCTGAGCTTGCAGACTGAGCCGCAGCTACCTGCCGGTGCACTGGACAGTGTCAGAGAGCAGTGGAACCGAACCTTCAGCATCATTTCTCACACAGCCAAGCATACTGCAAGTATGTGAAATCAAAAGATACACAGAAAAATGTTCCACCCTCAACCTAGCGCTTAGTGGCAGTCAACTCTAAAGTCTTACAGTGCCTCTGTATCTCCTTCCTGCCCCAGCAGTCCCAGGCTACTCTGCATCAGCTGATAATCAAAACAGTGCGAGCCTGAACTGTTGCTCCATTGCCTCAGAGATCTTTATGAAAGGTGTGTAACAATACATTGTTATTAATGTGTAACAATAATACTGGTATGCAGCATTTTTCAGTACAGTAATCAAGTGTTTAATTTCCCAGATCTGGGCTGGGACAGCTGGGTGATCCAGCCTTTGAGTCTTACCTATGTTCAATGCGCAACCTGCAACTCTGCCATGACCACTGTGCAATGTCCATCATCCCAAGTAAATATCCAGGATGCCAACACACAGGTATAGTTAACAAAGACATTATTACAAGAGAATAATTCACTGATTTATATGTTTTTGACTCACATTTACATCTATAGATATTTATATGTTGTGCTTTAGTCCCCCAAAAAACAAAACCTGGCATAGGAAATTCTCATAAGTGTGTGGGAACAGCACAATGCTTAGATTTATGATGTACTTTGTTATTTTCTACTATGCTGCCTAAGAACAGCACGTATCTTACCTTGGTGTGCTCTGGAGGCGAAACAGCTGCATGTAGATAAGCACGTGTACTTCTTCTTCCTGCCAACATAAATGAACTTGACCAAAAACAAGCCGAGGCATTCCACAAAGTTCATCGACCAGAAAAAGCGTGACAGCAGGAGAGTATTGTGGAAACAGAACAGTAAATAAAAAAAAATCAAAACTAGAAGCTGAAGTGTTGGTTATTTTGTTTAAATCATTTCTATTTAAACAAAATAAAAATGTAAATCATTTCTTGACACCTTGCTTTATTTGGTGTGAAGTCCTGCACACTCTAAATGTTTATGGGGGGTTTTTCACTGAAACATGACAACAATACAATTTTTAAAATGCTTAAGCGTCAACTCTATAATCATGAAAATATGCACCGTGTCTGATTCCTGCTCTCTTTATCTTTTCCCAGGACCAGGTGCCATGCTGTCAGCCCATCTCCCATGAAGTGGTGCCCATTGTCTATATGGACGAATCCAGCACCATTGTCATTTCCTCCATGGAGCTGACCCGCAGCTGTGGCTGTGGGCTGGGCAACTCTGAGGATCCTGGCAAGGAGTAGGCTGTCTTGAGTGTGTGGTATGAACCGCTTGGCTTTTATACACACATCAAAAGAACAAAAAATCATATCCACAATTCTGTTCTCATACAAACGCTGCTTTTGTAGGTCGTCTTTCCCTTTTAAAATAGAAAGTGCATTCAGCACTGGCTCCAGGAACCAAAGCAAGTCTGGGCTTTCCATTCCTGCAGCTGCGCTGTATTAAAACAGGAGTTTTGGAAAGCTGGACAATTATTGTTCAACTGATTTAACAGTAATTACACAATCTTTATGTCTTTGTCTGTAACCGTTGAACCAAAGAAAGCTCCAGCCAACACATGTATGGTAAATCCTCACAGTCTGTCTTTAAATAAATCTCATGTGGACAGGCTACTATTAATAGCTGTTAACTATTACTGAGAAGAAATGTTCCCTGAAGAAATGTAAGACTTGAGCCAGACCCTCTCACAAGAGGATCCGGCTCTACTCTTAAAGCAGATCGTCTCTGATATGTAATCTTCACAGATTATGTTTCATGCTCACAAGATAAATTTAGCAATCTATTAATTTCTCTGGGGCATAGGCATGATTTTCCATTGGTTATACTCTATATTTTCATGTGTCAACTGAGAAAAAAGAAAAACAATGTTGGCCCGCAAACCCAAAAACTGCAACTGTAAAAGTTCATAATTAAACTATTTACTGGTGATATGACTGACATGCTTTAACAGAGGAGAACACACAATCTTCTGTCCACATTTAATTTTGATTCTGATTTGTCATATGTATATAAATTCTGCCAATTGCAACAGTTAGATATTCAAAATTCAGATTCTTATTTTTGAGATTGGCTGCTTCAGTTTTATGTGTTTGTGGCGTAATTTACATTACATTATCTGACTGCTTTTATATACATTTATACTAAAGAATTCTTGGTTTTTTTTGTTTGTTTGTTTTCAAATGTATGCTTCTTTGATTAAGACTGGTGACAGCTCTTGGTTGTAATTTTATTTTGTTGTATACTCTGGCTTATTTTACAAAATTACCACCATGTTTTAAGTAATGTTTCACAAGTGTACTACTGCTTACAGTGTTATACAATAAAGCAATTTAACATATTTAGATAAACCTTTTTTTTTTATTGTGCTCAAGACACTGTTTTCCCATCTTAATCACTTGTACCATTCAATAAATTCTTGCTTATTCCAATAAAAGATTATAAATGATTGAAATCAGCTAATTTTTTTTAATACTTCTCAGTTGCTATTGTGTAAGTATAATTCACAAATTAAATAAAATGCTTCACAATAAAACACAAGAAACAGAAGTATAACATATCACAACAATGCACTGTAACAGTCACAATTGTGTGGTGTCTCTTTAAGACCACCTAAGTTCATGTTTAGTGATGTCACAAGTATGCGCCACTGCCCCCTGTAGAGTGTGTGAGAAGCGTGCTGGCACATGAACTCAGATGGACCTCATATCTTTACCTCCTTAACTCAAAGTAACGTTACGAGTTGTATGAACACTGCTTGCTTCATGATAAGACAGCAGCCGTTCAACTAGGCCTTGTAAGGTTAGTGAAGAGTGTGTTTATTAAAGGACAAGCACTGTGGAATTCCCAGTACCAGTGTTGTCGTGGGCTGAGTGGTCCTCTCAACCACTGAATACAACCCACGTTACAGTATTCTTTATATTATTCTCTCAACTGACATTTTTAAATAAAACTTTCCTTATACCAGCCCCTCGTGGCTTACTGCCAGCCACAGACTTGCTGTTAATTCAAGTGGGAGGGAAAAAGTAGATGATGAGGAAAAGTTGGCACTATACTGTATAAAACTAGGTGTTGGTGTGAGGGAGAGCAACATGTTGCGTACTTCTGAGGAGCCTCTAATGTTTTTTTTAGCTGCTGTACATGCAATCCTTTCCTGGCTGCAGTGAAATCCTCACATATAGTTCTAAGTTTAAAGTTTGTGAAGTTTCAGGTCTAGCTCAACATTGGCAGCTGCCTCGGTTTTTGATTAATGCTGGACAGAATGCCAGGACATATCGGCATATGGTTGTCTTTTGGCATACTGTGGCCACTTCTGCTGGCTGTCGGCGCAATTGAATGTTCAGAAAAAGAAACACTGATCAACCCGCTTCCCAGGAGGGTGATACAACCAAGTGACTGTTTAATGGAGTGTACTGGGATGACATACATCAAAAAATTGCAGCTTCAGGACAATCATAACATTCGGCTGTCAGACTCAACTGAAGGTAAGGAGACACAACATGACACCATCAACTCTGGGTCGGAGGCGTGGGGGGGTGTTTGTTGCAAAATCAAATCTCAGGCTGTGTTCTGAAAATAATTCCTGAGAGACATCATCGCTAGTTAAAGTGGTTCTGCTGCATCTATCTCCACCTGACTGACCTGTTTTATATTGCGCATGTGTATAGGCCTTCACAAACTAGTTTCCTTTCCTAGGAGACCTCGGGGAATACTGTTGGCCTACTGACCTCAAGTGCAACATTGGTGAGAGCTTTTTGCATGCCTACGCGGTATTGCCTGTGGATATATCTGCTGTGGGACATGAGCAACTGGAGGTCAAAGCCACTGCTCCAGCTGCCACTACACTACATGCACATAACAGCCCTACAACAATCGCAGAGAGCTGCGGCCTTCGTTACGACGTCACACGGCATTTCAGCACACAGAACGCTGGGACATCGCTCTGCATCCAGGTTGCTACCCAGGAAGATGCTCTGGGGGACACAGTTCTTAAATGTCCTCCATATCTGGTCACCTTCTGGCAAAGAAGTGCAAATCGGCGCCAACAACAAAGTGCTGGATAAAATATCAGAGGTAGAGGTATCCAGATCTTTTAAGTAAAACCACCAATTAGGATATTAAATAATATGAAAGGTCCTGCATTTTTAGAAATTTTAATGGAAGTATTAGATGCAAATGTACAGAATGAATAAAAGAAAAGAACAGCCTCTTTGTCACAAAGGAGATGGCGCTCACTCTATAACTTATGGTGATTTTCTTTAAAAATTGGCATTGTTTGCTTTTCATTAATTTAAAACTGCCACATACCCACAGGGGTTAGTATAAAATTGTCACACAGCTTGTTTTTTTTTATCTAGTTAATTTGATCATACCTGGAAGCTGGAAGTGTTACATTCTTATTGCTTATATAAACGGTTTAGACATTTTACTTTATTTGTTCTTTTCATACTTTGTATGTTAAAAGCTTACTTTCTAAAGTATCTAGTAAGTAAACCTTTCAGACTAATAGAATAGAATAAAATGTTCACTATTTCCTTGTGAGCTGTTTTGAAGTAACAAGTGTGTTTGGAAGTGGTTGTAATTTATACTTAAGTCGCCAACAGCAATAAGGAAAATCTATTGTGGGTCTCCAAAGCCCAATAATAAAATAGGGTATCAGAGATGCTAGTAATGGATGGTTATGCTTGGATTGTAATTCAGGGGTAAGGCTGGGGCAGAAAAGATTAATAACTGTAATTTCTCTATATTCTTAAGCAAGTTTAGATTTATTTTCTAGTGCTCTCGATGTGCATTTAAATCCCTTACCTGAGTGAACGGAAAATGAGAGTGAGGTCCACAAGTTCACTAAACTTGGAAAGCCATGTGAGTGATAGTAACGATATTATTTACTATTCTGACGAAATGCATTTAATGCACTTGCTATGATCAGTGAAGCTGTATACTACATTCTTTCAGAAATATGTTTTAAGATGAGGATCAAGCATATGAGCATGATGACGTGGGTGTTATGAACATTATATGGCACATGTACTTGTATTATCCACAATAATATTCTTATGATATATATTTGGTTTATGTGACTTCAGTTGTAAGGGTGTTTCGTGGCACTGAATGATTTTAGATGTGTCAACTCGGAAACTTTCAGGGCAAACTTGTTGCTCTGCTGACTTATTCAAAGGCAAAAAGCTATGTAAATGTTCTCTCTAAATGAAGAATGCAATGATGTTAATGTTGTGTTGATAGTTTAATATTAAACCATTTCATTTTCCTTTCACTCACACATCTTTATTGAGTTTAACTATTTAAGAAGGCTATAATAAGATGTGATTGTAAACATATTTTTGCTCTTTTTCCCACTTCCATTTTGTCTGTTTGTTTATTTTTATTCAGTTGTTATGCATAAAATCCTCACAATGTATCTTTTTGCATTTCATTACTACACAAGGACATAATATACTGCCACCTCCTGGGTATGATGTAAACTAATGGAAGTACTGGAATTAAGTCCCGTTTACTGTCCAACCACTGGATGGCAGACTTCTTACAGGGTAGTACTGCACCAGACTAACAATCAGTATAAATAAATAATTTACTGCCATAAAAAAAAAAACTACAACTAGGGTGTACAAGTAGGGTGAAACACCAGTTTCTCTGTGAAATGTTGAGCATTATTCCTGTCTTTTAACAAACACCATATTTCACATATTCCACCAAAATGTGGACAAGAAAATCCACAAAGGTGCTTCAAGTAGGCTCATTTTCCATTGCAGTTTTTGTGATCTGTCTCAAAATAATAATCAGTTGTTTAAAATAATTAGTGGAATTATTCCTAATGATCACCCTAGTATAAAAGAAAATCCATTTGAATTGACTAATCAATCACAGCGTTAGTTTGGTCATGACAAAAAGTCATCCTAAGCAAACCTTGGCAAATCTCAGTGCCAGAATACATCAGCTGATGGCTGAGCTGATACCCTTTAATACACACAATTGGAAAATTTCATGTAGTCTGTCTACATTTACTGAACATCTGCAAGTGGTTTTGCAAACCACCCCATCCCAGCTCTCTTCTATGCATGACGTAATCAGTGCCATATCTGTTGTTATTGATGTACTGTTTTGTATGGATTGAAGGGGTTTGGGTGGGCAGTGGGGGAAAACCTTTTTCTGTTACAGTGTAGACACACTATTAAGCCTAAGCTCTATTAAGGCTTAAATGAAGGAGGGTTTTTGTTGGTGTGCTCTGCTGGCAGGCGACCAGGGGAAGCATAACATAACCTTCCTATTGGGCCTCCAGACAGACCTTTCTCTGCCTGTATTAAAATAGAAATGTCATGAAAGGTGTGACAAAGATGAAGAGTGAGTCAGGACATTCTGCCTGTCTTAATCACCACCAACAAATAATCACAAGAAAGTGTGAAAAGAAAAGAAAAAAGGTATCTTGTGTGTTTAAAAGCCAGTCATACTTGCCTTTAAGCCGTCTGCTTTCTTACTGAGTCATTTTTTAAGTTCAATGGATACATATTGCCAAGAACAATTTATTCACGTGTCACCTCAAATGATCTTATTTATGAATGAATATTAGTCAAATATATCAAACAGGACCACACAGGACAAAGGGGATGATTTTCCTAAATCAGATTTTTTAAATCTCTCTTTTTCCATTACGTATAATCATGAGATCAAATGATTATTTGCTGTAGGGTTTTCAATACTAAAATTATGGCAAGAGCTCACTGTAAATAATAAATATTATAAAATAAAGCATTGTTTTTGTTTATGTACATTTTACATGTTTTGTTATATCATATTATAATAAAATCACTTACTTATTCTCTATCTTTCCTTGTTTTACAAATCATTCTATTCTTCAGGTGCCGACAACCAAGTTAAATCACAATGGAGCACATAACATGTAAATATAAACACAGGTGGCTGTACCATGTGTCTCAGGCAGGGGTAATTGTGAAAAGTTTGCGCAAACCCCTCTAAAGGAGAAAAAACGATTAATAATGTTGCCCCTATTGGATTCTTTCGACACATTTATTTTCGATATATACTTAGAAAAACAAATCGACAGCTTTAGCAATCTTTTTTAACAAATTTGAGTGTATAAAACTGAGGTTGGTCCCCGGATGGCTAAGAAGAGTAGAACAATCCACTAGGCAGACAGAGTGGACAGCCCAAACACGTAGTGGCAGCAGACAACTATCAAACAACGTCGTCCTGACAGTTTTTAAACTAACAACCCACCTTCGCCGGTAAACAATGTGACCAAGTGAGAAGAAGACCTCGGCGAGGACTGTGAGAGACGCATGACAACCAACTTTGGTTGTTGTGAGACGCACCATGACATCTCAGCCGAGGTAGGCAGACGCAGCCGACGCTAGCAGCTACTAGCTGAACGCTAGCTTCCCAGTCCGACCCGTCGGAGTAAGTTAATTAGTTGGATAAGGTCAGCCTGCTCGGTGGCAGCGCTCCGAAGGGTTTATCTGAGGCCAGGTTTAGCTTGAAACTTTGTTGAAATGTTAGCGTTAATTGTTATTTTGTTTACAGGTTAAACTAAAAGCCGTGCAGGGTTTTAGCTCTGTAAGCATTTCGAGGAAGAGGTGGAATCAGCTGGAAACTGCAGGGTCGTGTGAGTTTTAGCAGCTGGGTTAACGGGGCTTGTGTGTTTATAGCAGCTGTTTTGTGTTTTCAGACTGCACGTTTTACGTTCATGTTTGGAGAAAACGTACCGCTTAATAACTCACGGATTATCAAACCTCAGCCGTCGTTTCTTAAAAACTTGGATTTAGTTGGAAAACAGCTGGAGTCG